AGAAGTAATGGATACTCATTAGAGAGATGCATTATCACAGAACGCATAAGTGAAAGCCATTGTTGCCCAGTCTTTACCACCACAACACTATGAGTCATACTTTGGTGCTCATTCTTCCAAATATTTGTCATTACCTTAGCATATTGTCAATATTATTCTTTATTAACATTTTGTCTTTGAAAATTGAATATTTCTATATAATCTGTAACAAATTCTCTTAAAATGAGATATAATTCACAGCTACAAAATCCGTATCATTTAAAGTATATAATTCAGCAGTTTTAAGTATATTGACAAAGTTTTACAGGATGATTGCTGTGGCAAATCAGAACCAGGAAAGGGACAACACCTGAAGAGGTTTGAAGGCAGCGTACAGCTTTATTAATACTGGTAGACCTAGCTGGGATTGTTTCCAAAAGAGCCAGGTCCTGCTCTCTGCTGTCTGGGGTTTTTATGGACTTTTACTGGCAGGAAGTACAGCAGCAGAACACGTAGGTTTTTGATAGGGCAGGGCAGTCCCGTGACTTTGGGAAACTGGCGGGTCTAATGGGAAACAGAAACTTACAGTGCCCAAGATGTGGACGTGGATGAAGAACCAGGAAGTGAATTGCAGGCATCTTTGAACCACAAGTAAAGAGGCTGTATGACATGGGGCAAACTGGAAAATATGAGTAGAATAAAAGGGGCCTGCCTGCTTTATTACCACTGCCTGAGGACCGTTTTATCATCCTGAACACCAAGTGCATCACCACCACAGCCACTCTGCACCCCGGCAGCTGGTAAGGCCCATCTGCGTGGATTTGCCTACTGTAAATGTCTTATGTAAATGGATGGAGTCTTTTGCATTTGCTTCTTTCACTTAGCATGTTTTCAAGCTTCATTAATATTACCTACTTTAACAGTTTAAAAATTGTTTTCAATCATTTGATTTCTTTTGAGATAGTCCAGGTTGACCTCTAACTCTTGATCTTCCTGCCTCAGCCTCCCAAATTCTGGGTTTACACACATGCCACTATGCCTCATTCTCATCAAGTACTTCTTTTAAATGGGTGAATAATATTGCACTGTATGAATATTCCACATTTCACTTATCTATTCACTGACTGTCATACATCTGCATATTCCTGCCTTTTGGCTATATGAATAATGCTGCTATGAATAATCCTGTAAAGTTTTGTGCGACTGTGTGTATATATAGCTAAGCATGAAATATATACCTACATATGAAATAGTGGCTCTCACAACAGCTTTTCAGCTTCTCAGGGTAGCAATTCAACTGTTTTCCAAAGCAGCTACAATATTTATATAATTTTTCCATATCTTCACAAATATACTTTTGCTGTCTAACTTTTTGGGTAGAGCCATTTGATGGGTGTAATAGTATTTTCATGTGGTACTGATTCACAGTCCCCTGTTACCAAGGATGTGAGAATCTTTCAAAAGGTATTATAGTTTAGGTCATTTTAGACCTAAATTCCCTCTAAGTTCTCCTGTGTTTAGATCTGGAGCTTTCAGTGGGGCTGTAACTTCATTGGGGGATGAATGCCTTGATGAGGCTAGAACTCTAGGAGGCATTCTGGAAGGAAGTGGGAACTCAGAGGGGTCCTTGTTGAAGGAAATGTGGCCCTGTCTTAGCTCTTTCCGCTTTCTCCCGGGTCATTTCCATCTGCCTTTTCTTCTAGGTGGGCTTCCGCAGCCGGAGAAGCTCTGTGCTAGCATAGCCTTCTGCCACAAGGCTTGGCTTTATCTCAGGCTAATGCTGAAAACTGTAAATACATATAATTTTTGATGTCATTGAGTGGCTTTACAGGTGTGAAAAAATACAGTGAATTCTCTGAGTGCCGGCCAGCAAAAAGGCAAATTGTAGAAACATTACAGTGCATCTTCTTGATCTGCCGTAGCCACTAGATCTGTTACTGTGCCACTCCTGGGTCTTCCCCAAGACACAGTGGCCACAGGAGGCAGGTGCTTTAGTTGGTTTAGGGCAACTGTGCAACTAAAGACACTCATGAAAGAGGACTCCAGAGCTGCTTCAGAAACAATGGATGAGCATGTTCAAAGCAAGGGGGAATATTCTGAAGATTGGTGGTGATGTGTCTTCAACTGTAACAAATTCTAAAAAAAAGTTTAAAATACCATGTTTTGCGATCATATCTTTGAATTGAATTTTTCTATCTTTGAAGATGGAATATCTCTGTTTAGTCCCTTCGTTTGATTCAAATCTTACAGTTTTCATAGGTAATATATTCATATGTATTTACACTTGTAAGTATGTATTTTAGATTTATCCTGAAATATTTCTTGTTTTTCATTTCAGATTCCACTTGTTCATTGCGTGTACACAGGACAGTGATTGACTCTTGTACTGCAGTCCTGCCCTGTAACCCTGCTGTTATTACTTATTGGTTTGTTCATATTTCTTACATAGACAATCATGAGGTTTAAACAGAGACAATTGTACCTCTTTCTCTCCAATCAATGCATCTTTATATTCATTTTTGTCTTATGTACTAGCTGTGATTTCCACTATAATGTTGGAAAAGGTGATCAGAGGGGACATTGTTGCTTTATCATTTTAGTGGAGAAAATGCTAGTTTTTTAATCATTAAGAATGATGTTAGCTATAGGCTTTTTTAAAATCAATATTCTTTATCAATTTGAGGAAGGTATTCTCCAATCCTAGTTTACTGAGAGTTTTTATCATGGGTGAAGGGGTATTAGATTTGTCAAATCTTTTTGCTTCTATTGAAATGATCAGGTGACTTTTTTTAGCTTGTTTATTTGATGAAAAGATGAGCTGATTTTCAAATGTGGAGCCAGCCTTTCCTACCAAAAATCAGCCCCATAATTCTTTTTGAGTATTTTAAAATCCTCTTGCCTTTGCCAGCGACTCTGGAAAGTCTGGCTATAAACCACCCTACATGGTACAAATTGTAAGTATAAATTACTTAGCCCCTGAGTACTTTACAACAGAGTTCAGTGCTCAAAGGCAGTTTCCCTGGCCTGCCCTCTGCTATAGAGCTACATCCTGTGAACAGGGCTCCTGCTCGGAACTACCTCCTACCAAATACAACCCATGACAGTTTCCTCTCTGTGAGGGTCTCAAGCTCTTCTCTGGCCAGTTTGGGATGACCTCTTGCTCTTCCGCAAAGCCTATTATATAAGTGATAAGTCTCATACCTTCCTGGTGTGTGGACATAATGCCCTCTCTAGTAAAATCCAAGTCTAAAGCCATTCAGATCTATTCCTTTAACATGTCTCTGACCTAAGATTTAATTATTTCCACTAATAACCCATTAGAGTTAATTTTTTAAAGGAAAATATTCTTGAAACTTAGGCAGAAAATAAAGCAAATTGCATTTCCATTACCATTGTAATCACCTGAAGTGAGGAATCAGCTTTGCAAATTATAGCATTTCATTATCTTGTCCAACAAATGTTTTCCTCCTAACACTGCCACATATTTTTACAAAGAGAAAATGATCACTTATAAAAGAAGCTACCAATAAACCCAAATTAGAAGGTGTAGTACAGTGGCTAACACAGTGACTTTTAAAGGCAGGTAATTTTGTCCTTAAATAAAATGACCAGTTGTCTTGGTTTTTCCTAGGACTGTCCTGGATTTTAACTCTGAAAGTATTTCCCGGAAAACTGAGTGCCAGGTAGACTGGAATATTGGTCATCTTTCATTTTTAATGTCAGGGGACATTTCTGGTTGTTACTACTTGGGTGTGTGAGTTTTACCAGTGTTCAAGGAGCAGAGTCTCTGGATGCTACCAAACATCTTATAATAGACTCTGTCACAGTGAAGAAGGTCCAAAAATGTCAGTGGTGCCAGGGTTGAGAAATGCTAGTCTAGCTCTTTGCTACTTAGTTCTTTGGACACTGTAATTCTGTTGACATTTCCAAGAACACTGGTAGAGGTATAGGTTCAGGCCCTGCCCCAGATACAGTAAAAGAATTGGCCAGCCAGCTGCCCAAGTCCCGAGCAGAGTTGAGCACACACCACAGCTTGAGAATCACTGTTCCAGGGCCTTTGCTGTTCACGCACTCTGAGGGCCAGCACACACTCAGGAAAGTCCACAGGCTCATTGGCTCTGGTTAATTGCAAATACAGGTTTCCCAGTGAGACATGGTGTCAGCACTTGGCCACCAGCAGCCTCTCTTTCAGGCTGATTGTTCTACTCCAGGTCTGAAAGCATCCTTGATCTCTGAGAAGGACCACACAGCAAGTTTGTGATACTCACAGTGGGCAACCGGGCTGTACAGCCAAGTGGGAAGGAGCAATGGGACACTAGGCTGGAGGTTAAGGAAATGTTTCTATCCCTAACATGTGTACACACACATAGCTATAACCATAGACTATCTGACAGAATCCTATACAATCAGGAGTTAAAAACAATGAAAGAAACAATTGATAAAAAATACAAATTTTTGCATTTTTGCCTAATACTCTTTTTGGAAGAGGGTTGAAATAGGGTTTCACTATGCATTCAAGGTGATCTTGAACTATATTGCCCAGGCTGGTCCTGAACTCATGGCGAGCCTCTCGCCTCAGCCTCCTGAGTGCTAGGATTACAGACATGTACCACCATGAAACATTCACTGAGTTATTTTGCTACATCCCAAGCCCTTTTTATATTGTATTTTGTGACAGGGTCTTATTGAATTGGTAAATTGTTTTGAGAGGGAACAAACTTGTGATCCTTCTGCCCCAGCCTTCTAGAGCGCTGGGATTACAGGTATACATGCCCACACCCACTATTCGCTCTCCTGACACCTTCTCCTCCCTGGCGCTCCCCTTCTCTTCTCTCTCTCTCCACCTCCCTTGACTCTCTCCTCTTCTTTCCTTCCCCACTCCATGCTGTCTTGCTATGTGGTCCAGGCTACCATTGGAGTCCAGGGATCAAGAGACCGCCTGTGCTAGAGTCCCCAGTAGTTTTGACTACAGGTATGTGCCATTGTGTGTGGGTTAGCACTCATATAATTCTTTATGAATGTCACTCATTCTCAGTTCAGTCTTTAGTTTATGGACAACTACATGACAATTCAACAATATATAATCCAGAATTACAAAGTCAGTGAAAAATGTAATTTAAGAATCATCAGAAGCAGAGTTGGCTGGATTGATGGTGTTTATCTCAGTAGCAGCCAAGACAGCAGAGGGCAGATGCTGCTGACCCTTGGGGTAACTGAGCTGCCAGCACAGTTCCTATACCCATGCTCCCTTGATGTAAGGTCCCTGCTTCAGTCTCTCCATCTTTCAAGGAAGGGAAGGGAGCCAGAGTGGCCCAGCAGAGATCCTAGCATGCAGAGGCCTGCCACTGCCTTTCAGCTGATGCCTATTTATGTGGCTCATCACAGCCCATATATCAAGTTGCATCGTTCCACAGGTGGTCTCCTCCCAGCGTCTTCTCATCATTGCTCATGGGGGGATTCCTCCACGGCATGGTCCTCATCAACTCTGGCCACTGACTGCCTCCCAGTTCCTACAGTACCCTTTCACAGTATATCTCTGATGCAGCTTACTACTTTCTGAAGAGTCGTGTGTACAGTAGAAAGAATTCTAAGATGGTCCTTGAAGCTCTCGCCTCTTCTTACACATCCTGTGTATAATACCTTCCTGCTGCGTTTGTGCACAACTGTTCTATTCATAGGTGCCCCATACTCAGCATGTCCACACACGCTCCTCCTCCTTTATGTTGCAGGAAAAGTCACCCTATACTCCATGGTACTTGAGCCAGAAACCTGACCACCCTCATGGATTTCCCACACTCCTAACTCTTAGTATCTTCACTTAATCAATGACCCATTTTTCTTCAGTTTTCTTCTTATTTATTCCACACATCGCACGAGTGTGGTGGTCAAATGCAGACTGACAGTCTATGTGGTCCATACACAGTGTGGAATATGGCTCAGCCTTAAAAAGGAAGAAAACCCTGGCACGTGATACAATGTGGATGAACATTATACTAAATAACATAAGTTACAAAAAGATAAATACTGTATGACTCCACTTATATGAGATACTCAGGATAGTATAGAAACAGAAAAGCAGAATGGCCATTTCTAGAGTACAGGCAGAGGATGAAATAGGGAGTTATTACTTAATAGGCTTGAGATTTTAGCTTTGTAAGATGGAAAGTTTTTGGCAGCGATTGTTGATGGTTAACAACTATATGATTGCACGTAATATACTGAACTGAAACTCAAGAATGGGAGAAAGAGTACATTTTATATTATGTGTATTTTATCATAGTAGAAAAACATAAAGATAGTGATTAACAGTTAAAAAAAACTACCTACTATTAGTGACATAGGAAGTCTCCAGGACATGTGCAAATATCTCAAGAGGCCTGATTACAAAAAGCAGCTGATATTAAGGCACGAGCTCATGGGATGCGTTTTACCGTGTAATCTAAAAAATCAAAATAATAAAACAAGTCTCATCAGTTTTGTCACTTGTTTTGATCCTTATTGTGAATTGATTTAATCCTACAACTAGTGCAACTTTTGTCATGATTTTGGGATTTCCTGGCTAGCAGACCAGTCCTTGGGCTGGAGAGAACCTTCTGACACCCCTTTTCACAGACCCTCAAGTCTTGGTGTAGGCAAGAGCTCATCTTGTTAATCATTTTCTTGGCTTGCAGAATTAATAGAAATCCTTCAAATTCTCTCCATTCTGATCCTCTAGGGAGGGGATTTGGAGCGAGGAGGCATTTGAAGAGTAACTTCGGGAGGAAATGTCTTCTGTGGTGTGTCAAAGGTCTGCTAAGTCTGGCTGGCTGACTCTGAAGGAGAACTCCGTTGAGGCACTGTTGGAATCCTATCAAAAGTATCTGGCAAGGATTCTTGTTCCAAGGCCCCCTTCTCAAAAGGTTTTTTGTTATCCTGCATGATTGTGGCCTTCTCTGTGGAAATCTGTTCCTAAACAGAAAAAAAAAGTTATTCAGGAGTGAATGAACACATTACTGCTAGTACTGCCCTACTACTGACTAGGGACAGAACTGAAACAAACATACTGATAAGCCATGAAACCAAACATGCTAAGACCAAAGTGATTCACCAACAATTTAACTTCCTTCTAGAACATACTCAATATCTTCTAAAGTAAAATAGTATAATCTAGACAACCCAACAAAATATATCTACCATGTTCAGTATACAAGAAAAACTTACTGGATATGTGAAAAAGTAGGGAAATATTGAGTCATAAGCTAGAGAAAAAGCATTCAATAGAAAGAGACCTGGGAATGAATGACATAGGTAGGGTTAGCAGACAAGGATTTGAAACATCCATAAAATATTTTCAAAAATTTAAGAGGGAAAAATGGACATAATTATTGAAAGTTAGGGTATATCAGCAGAAAAATGCAAGTTATATGAAAAAGAACTAGATAGAAATTACAGAACTGAAGAGAAAAAATACCTTTAAAAATTTCATGGACAGATAGGTCTGCAGAGGAGGAGCTGGGCAGATCTGGGGTGCCCTCACTGGCCTCTCTGCGTGTCTGGAGGACTCTGGATTTCTGCACCCAGACTGCTGGAGTTCCCTCAGGCTTCCAGGTACAGTGAAGGAGACAGGTGGGATTGAGGCTTCCACATCAGCCTCCCCATTCCCGGCTTCATTTGGAGACCTGCTGAGCTCCCGATAGGTGGGCTGGCCCACACTACCAGCCTAGCCCAGCCTGTTTAGCTGCCGCGCCTGGCCATAGGTCTGCAGAGGAGGAGCTGGGCAGATCTGGGGTGCCCTCACTGGCCTCTCTGCGTGTCTGGAGGACTCTGGATTTCTGCGCCCAGACTGCTGGAGTTCCCTCAGGCTTCCAGGTGCAGTGAAGGAGAGAGGTGGGTTTGAGGCTTCCACATCAGCCTCCCCATTCCCGGCTTCATTTGGAGACCTGCTGAGCTCCCGATAGGTGGGCTGGCCCACACTACCAGCCTAGCCCAGCCTGTTTAGCTGCCGCGCCTGGCCATAGGTCTGCAGAGGAGGAGCTGGGCAGATCTGGGGTGCCCTCACTGGCCTCCCTGCGTGTCTGGAGGACTCTGGATATCTGCGCCCAGACTGCTGGAGTTCCCTCAGGCTTCCAGGTGCAGTGAAGGAGAGAGGTGGGTTTGAGGCTTCCACATCAGCCTCCCCATTCCCGGCTTCATTTGGAGACCTGCTGAGCTCCCGATAGGTGGGCTGGCCCACACTACCAGCCTAGCCCAGCCTGTTTAGCTGCCGCGCCTGGCCATAGGTCTGCAGAGGAGGAGCTGGGCAGATCTGGGGTGCCCTCACTGGCCTCTCTGCGTGTCTGGAGGACTCTGGATTTCTGCGCCCAGACTGCTGGAGTTCCCTCAGGCTTCCAGGTGCAGTGAAGGAGACAGGTGGGTTTGAGGCTTCCACATCAGCCTCCCCATTCCCGGCTTCATTTGGAGACCTGCTGAGCTCCCGATAGGTGGGCTGGCCCACACTACCAGCCTAGCCCAGCCTGTTTAGCTGCCGCGCCTGGCCATAGGTCTGCAGAGGAGGAGCTGGGCAGATCTGGGGTGCCCTCACTGGCCTCTCTGCGTGTCTGGAGGACTCTGGATATCTCTGCAACCAGGGAGGGTCCACAGGTTCCTGAAGCACTGCGGCCTGTGGTGAGTACCCTAACCTGGCTGCGATTGAAGAACTGTGGAGCTTCCAAGGGGCAGGTGGGCGCACAGTGTCCCTGAGGCCCAGCTTGTCTGGAACTGCGGAGTTCTGAGCAAGGCAGAGGAGGGCCACTGGTTCTGTAGGCCTAATGGCTTGGAGTAGCGCGGCGCCAGAGTCTCAGTAGCTCCAAACATAGAAGGGGATTTTCAACAGATCCTGAGGAAGCTTTCAAATAACACTTGAAACACAGAAATATAGGAAAATGACAAAACGAAAGACCAAAGTACAACCTCAAACCTCCAGCCCATCTCAAGAAACCCTAGGAGCAATGTATATAGAAGAAAATATATCCCATCCACCTCATATATCGGACACAATAGCCACTGAAATTGACAAGCAACTCCAGGAAGCTTTAAAGAAATTCAAACTCGAAATAATCTCCCAGATAAAAGAAGAAATGATAAAAGAAATGAAAGAGACTCTAAATATATCTAAAGAAAACACAGATAAAAAATTGGAGGAACTAAACAAAAAGATAGAATCCCTAGACGAGCAATATAAGAAACAAACAGAATACCTAATGCAGATGCACAGAGATATACAGGAAATAAAAAACTCCACTGAAAGCTGTAAAAACCGCCTTAATGAAAGTGAAGATAGAATTTCAGACCTTGAAGACAGGATTGCAGCTAGTGAACAGGAAAGGAAAGATCTTTTGAAAATAACAAGGAACCAGGAAACAACAATTCAACAACTGCAAGACGATGCAAAGAAGAATAACATAAGAATGATAGGGATTAATTAAAGAGAGGGAGACAACATGAAGGATGTCAGGAGGATATTTAGAGAAGTAATAGCTGAAAATTTCCCAAGCATGAGATCAGAAACTGACATCAGGATCAGTGAAGCATATAGAACTCCAAACAGTCATAACCAAAATAAAACTACACCCAGACATATAATAATCACCATCCCAGAAATCCAACACAAGAATAGATTATTAAAAGCTGTCAGAGAGAAAAGACAAATCACTTATAAAGGAAAACCTATCAGAATCACAGCAGACTTCTCAGCACAAACGATAAAGTCAAGAAGAGCATGGAGTGAAGTATTCCAGATCCTAAAGCAAAATGATTTCCAACCAAGACTGATATATCCTGCAAAACTATCATTCAAAATAGATGGTGAAATACGATACTTCCATGACAAAGAACAGCTGAAGAACTTCATGAACACCAAACCAACCCTGCAAAAAATATTGAAAGACAGTTTAGATACACAAAGGAAAAAACCACTAAGCAAAGCAAATAATTAAACAGAACCGAAAGATAAAGATGCAACAGCGGAGAGATAACATTCCTACAATTAACCAGCATTTAACAGTAATAACCATTAATGTAAACGGTCTCAATGCACCAATCAAAAGAAACAGACTAGCAGAATGGATCAAAAAACAAAATCCAACCATATGCTGTTTACAGGAAACCCATCTAACCCAGAAAGATACTCACAGACTGAAAGTCAAAGGATGGAAAACAATTCTTCATGCAGCAGGAATCCAAAAAAAGGCAGGAGTAGCCATTCTGTTTGCAGACAATGTGAACTTTAAACCAACAATGACCATAAAGGACAAAGAAGGTCACTACATACTCGTAAGGGGAAAACTCCAAGAGGAAGAGATAACTATCTTAAATATATACGCACCAAACTCCAGAGCACCCAGTTATATAAAACAATTATTAACAGAAATGAAAACTCAAATTATCAGTAACACAATTGTAACAGGAGACCTTAATACACCACTGACACCAAGGGACAGATCAACCAGACAGAAAATGAGCAAAGAAATAACAGAACTGAATCACACCTGTGAACAAATGGGTTTGATAGACATATACAGAATGTTCCACCCAACAACATCAGAATACACATTCTTCTCAGCAGTACATGGATCATTTTCTAAAATAGACCATATATTAGCTCACAGAACATATTTAAGCAAATGCAAAAGAGTTGAAATCATCCCTTGCATATTATCGGATCATAGCGCTCTGAAATTAGAAATTAATGACAAAGGATACTGCAAAAATTCCGCAAACACATGGAAACTAAATAACACACTCTTGAGTAATCAGTGGGTCACAGAAGACATTAAAGAAGAAATTAAACAATACCTAAAAGAAAATGAAAATGCAGATACAACTTACCGGAATCTGTGGGATGCAATGAAAGCTGTTCTGAGAGGAAAATTTATTGCACTGAGTTCCCACATCAGGAAAACAGAACGAATACAAATAAATAACTTGATGCTACACCTCAAACAGCTAGAAAAAGAAGAGCAAGTCAAGCCCAAAGCCAAAAGAAGAGAGGAAATTATAAAAATCAGAGCAGAAATCAAAGCAATAGAGACTAAGAAAACAATCCAAAGAATCAACGAATCAAAGAGTTGGTTCTTTGAAAGAATAAATAAAATCGATAAGCCCCTAGCCAACCTTATTAAAAAAAGGAAAGAAAAAGCTCAAATTCATGCAATAAGAAATGAAAAAGGAGAAATCACTACAGACCCAATAGAAATACAGAGGATCATCAACACCTATTTCGAAAACCTCTACTCTCAAAAGTTTGATAACACAGAAGAAATAGACAAATTCTTAGAAGCATATGAAGTACCAAAGCTAGATCAAGAGGATATAAAACTGTTGAATAACCCAATCTCTGCTAATGAAATTGAGAATGTAATTGGGTCCTTGCCCACCAAGAAGAGCCCAGGCCCAGATGGATTCACCGCAGAATTCTACAAGAAATATAAAGAGGACCTAATGCCGACACTCCTCAAACTATTCAATGAAATTGAAAGGGAAGCAATCCTTCCTAAGTCATTCCTGGAAGCAAATATTACTCTAGTACCAAAACCTGAGAAAGACCCAACTATAAAAGAGAACTATAGACCGATCTCCCTAATGAACACAGATGCAAAAATCCTCAATAAAATATTGGCAAATAGGATCCAGCAAATCATCAAGAAGATTATACACCATGACCAAGTGGGATTCATCCCAGGAATGCAAGGATGGTTCAACATACGCAAATCAATAAATGTAATCCACCATATCAATAAAGCCAAAAATAAGAATCACATGATCATCTCTATAGATGCAGAAAAAGCCTTCGATAAGGTCCAACACTTATTCATGATAAGAACTTTACAGAAAATTGGAATAAATGGTCTTTACCTCAATATAATAAAGGCCATTTATGACAAACCAACAGCCAGCATCATACTAAATGGCCAAAAATTGAAAGCCTTTAC